TTGGCTTGATTCATAGTCCAAAAGGGAATTCATTCAGTTCGTAAATATTCCGTTGATGCTTTTTTTTCATTTCGAATCGATCAATCGAGCGTTTGGCTGACAATTTTCGCTCATTGTCTACGTTTATCCCATCGCTGTCAAATGCTGCGTGCAAAGTGTTTGGGGAATATTCTTGAAGGAACGATTATTATAAACAAATCGATTGAAATTTCGATTGAATTCCATGATATTATTCCCTCGAATAATACATTGTTTTTGATCAATTTAAAGTACTTGTGTGTACAATGTGCCATTCAAAAATTTCATAATACCCAACCAATCGAGGGTAGAGAGGGAGAGAGAGAGAGAGAGAGAAAATGAAATAAAATTGGCCGCAATCACTGATCGTGACAATAGAAAACGATTGCTATTTCTGAGCCGAAAAGCGATGAGATGCTGTTTTTTATTATTATTTTTTTATTTTATTTTTATTTTCGTGTCATTCATCATACTGGAGAATCGCTTGAAACAGACAACAAATACGAAAATTTGAAACCTTTTTGTTCTTATTTCGGTAACGCCGGCACACACATACAAACAAACAAATCAACCTGAAAAAAAAGTAACAATCATTTTTTGGTCACTTTTGTTGTTGCTGTTTTGTTATTGTTGTGTGCATGTCGTTTTATGAGCCTCTTTTTCACACTCTTGCCTTTCGAGTGCGAGAACATGATTCGCTGCATACACAGAATCATTGCGGCCAAACATCAAGTTTGCGCTGCAGCGTTTTACATGTAAAACCGTTTAATAGGAAAAGAACAACAATAACACAGCAACACTGATATACAATCGTATAAAACATGGAAAAAAAATAAACGAAATGCGTTCCGTTGAAGTAATGAAATTCTGCGTAATAAATCATAATGATTGAGACAATTAAGCAATAAAAGTTCCGTTCAGTCACTCGTTTTTCGGTTGCTGTTGTTTGGGGTATTGCGCGCGGGCATTGCTGTCACCTCTCGGGAAATGATGAAATCCTAATCAAACACACTCAATAAAGGATATTGTGCTTGAATAAGGACAATGCAATTGATTGAATCAAAGCATTTTTGGTTAAGCTGCCAGTTCATTCCAAGAGAGAATTCCTAGAAGAAAATCTAGAACTCATTTTTTTCTTCATCGAATTATTTCTGAAAACAAAACATTTTTGGTTTTATTACCGCTTTTGAACCGATTCGAAACCATTCGGTCGACAAAAATGTTTGCCGACAAAAGCCAATTTTCTATTGGAAGACTAAATGCCTATTTTTAATGGCATTCGTCGTTTTCAATGGACCCAAACGAAAGAATGAAAAAAAAAACTACGTTTCAAAATCGTTTTAATAGTTTGAAACATTAAACGAAATTCAGCATCCAATGTCAGACATATAAAATAAGTGCTTCACAATATATGCATTTTTGTATGCCGAAATAATTTTTGTTTCTCTCGGGTCAGTTTTTCTCTCTCTCTCTCTCTCTCTCTCTCTCTTTTTTTTTCTTCTAATGCTTTGTGTGTACTTCGCAAACATAGTGCGACTGGTAAAAAATATGTACGAAATGCCAGTTACACCAAGACCAACTTCGATAAAAAGTTACAGCCGAAGAAAAAATTTGAATGTCATTTCATTAATGTTAGCATTTTTCGAGGCGACATCATTGACACATTCGATCGTTTTGCCAAGGCAGCAAACTGTTTCGGCAGCGTAGCAGAACAAAGAGGGAATGTTGAAATGAAATGGTAATTTGATGGATTTTACGCTAGGTTATTTTTTATCGCTTGTGAAACGCTTGATGTTACCGATTCAAAAAGCGAAATATTTCGACTTATTCTGTCAATCAGACGAATGACAGCCAATGAAACATGATCAATACAACGAACGACAGACGATGAGTAAACGAAGAGAAAGAGAGAAAAAAAAGAAAGTTTCGAAAAAAAACATTTCATTTTCACCCTTATCACTTCAGCAAATCGATTTTAATGAACAACAAATTGAATTTCCGCCTCGAAACAGGCGACCGAAAATAATATACACGGCTACTACTTATACTTCCGGGTTTGTGATAAAAATAGAGCGCATTTTGTGAGCTCTAATAAAAAAAAGTCTTCTGAACTTTTGCTCTGCCCAGCCGAGCCTAAGCAAAGAAGTTTATGAAAATCGAGAGAATACTAAATGGTTATTGCCGTCTTCGATTGGAAATCGCCGATCCGATCGATTTCATCGGATTTCGCAGACATGAATAAGTGTAAGAATTGAAACTTATTTGCCAATAATTCCGAATTTGACATTGATGCGATAGAGTAGTGACCTGCTGTCAGAAGGCACACTCGAACTCTGTGCATATATTATTATGATTTTGTTATGTTCTATGCTGTTTCGGCACTTTGACTAGCCTACACGGAGAAACTGTGATTGAACTTATCCAGCCAGCGAACAAAGCGGCAACGCTGTCCTGTCAAAAAGAATCATTTACTTGGTTGCTCATTGTATTTCGCATTCGCGTTTGTGCTTGTGCTTGAACGAAAAAATATTTTCTCAGGCTATCGTCAGCATGTCTGCAAGAATCGATTGAAATCCTTCGATTTTGTTTTGTGGCGCGATTCAACGTGTGCTCTGCTGGCACAAATGCTGGTAACAGAAGGGATTAGTTGCGGTATTATGTGAAGTCCCGCCACTTACTCATAATAATAAACTCTTAGATGAAAGAAAAAAAGTCAGAATTTTACGTGCACGCGTAAATGAACAAAAGATTGAAATCAAGGAAGAACGCGCACAACAAGAAGACGAAAATTGAAACAATGAAACCAAATCATTACGAATATTGTGTGTGTGACGCAACAAACCGAATGCTACGTGACTGAATGCTTCGGCCGAGTGATAAAATGATGATATGCTTGTGCGCGGCCGTTGATATGCTTGTGCGCGGCCAATTCAGACGCGCAACGTTTCATTTGCCTGCTTGCTGACTGAACGGACTGAGGTGTGCTTTTTTCTCGGTGTGAAACTCGGTCGAACTCGGTTGCTGCTGCTGCTGCTGCTGTACAGTTTCATCGTGGTTCCTTCACTTTGAATCGCTTCTTAACGCTAATATTGTTATTCACATTTAAAGTGTAATTTTTACGCATGTTATTTCATCCTTTTAAATAATTCTCCATTCCATTTTTCTGCCTCATTCTTGTCATCGGCTTTTGTTGAATGCATTCGTTCTCTTCATCATCGAAGTCAGTTCATCGCTTGATTTCTATTCGATTTTGATTGTAATTCCATTTTAAAGCTCCACTTTCATTTCAACTGTACTGGTTTTTTGAAATGCTACATCATTTTCTACCAATTCACCCAACCATCGTTCAAAATCTACTTTCAATCAATTTGTGGCTAATGTGGAACATTTTTCAACATTGCAAATAAATTGAAAAATCAATCCGGTTGGAATCGAGAAAACCCTTTGATGAAAATTGATTAAATATCGAAAAAGGAGAGAGTGGAGGAATTCTTGGATTGTCATCAAAAGATCAAAATGCGCCAAATGAAAATGGAAGATTCTCATGAAAAGAATTTTTCACTCCAAACCAAAGAACCATATGAGCAGCATATTGAAATAGGAGCTCGATGAACGTGTGACCGTATCGATGTGTTGAAGTGAAAATTAATTAGGTCCGTATCATAGACGTCTGCAATCACGATTTCTTTTCCGATATCTAGACGCCAAGTGATAATTAATTAAACGTCCCGATGATTTGGTCTGCATGTGACACCCACCGTCAATGGTTTTCAATCATTCTAAAAACGCCGTCGGTATCAAAGGGACTGCAATGATTCATTCATTTTTCGCTAATCAAATTAAAAAGGTCGGATTACTACGTTTATGATGTCAATGAAATGAGAAGACGTCGCGGTCTTTCTTTCTTTCTATGGTAAACAAAATCATAAAGTGACGTCGTTTCTGTGTAATAAGAAAAACAAAAATAACTGCGAATGTATGAATTCTGCCGGAATCACTCTTGGATGTCTCATTACGCTCAAGCATCAATCAATGCGTGCGAATGCTCTTGTGTATGAATCACAGAAGATGAAAAATGAGTAACTTTGATTCATGCAAATTAAAATGATCAGACATTATTTTTTCCATTGACAGAGATTCACTGTCATTTCGCCAGAAACGTTTTTACACTTTCAAACATTTCGTCAAAAAATAAAGCAAATAACAAAAAATAATAAAAAAAACAGCGCTCACCAAATCGTTGAACAATCGAACATGCTTCGCAACAGTCGCGCACCAGAGAGCAGCGAAAGTGTGTGTGTATGTGTGTGTACAGAGGAGATCGAACATCTATTTTAGCAAAATTCAAGTACTTTTTGCTGTTTGCGCGGCTAAAATAAAACACAACACACTAACATACTAATAACAATAAACGTTATAATGGCAATAGCAATAGCAATAAAAATGAAAATTGTTTTAAAATCTGCTGTGTACATGCAATCATAAAAATAAATGCAACGCTCATAATGCAATAATTTAACTTCGAGCCGATACATACACCGAGAGAGTGGTACACGACCATTATTGTGAATGTGCCTGCGAATGCGCTGCTCGAATTGAATATTTGCATTTGTTGAATGTGCGTCAATGATACGTAGCAGCATCATGTGTTTGATATTAAAAAACCCCTCTATCCGTATAATGAAAACTGTATCAATTTTGCCGCGTTGAATTCCATGTCAGAGCAATGAGAGAAAGTGAAGAGAAAAAAACCTGCCCACGAAAGTATCGCACAAAAAATGTGCACAATAAAAGCGAATAAAAACCAACTGCCATCAAATCCACGGAAGACTCTTTTTTCTAATGCTAAAAAAGCGAGAAATGTCCATTTGTTTGCTTGTTTGTTTGTTTTACTTGGCAACTTTTGGTCGGTTTGTTTGAATTGAATTTACAGTTTAATGTTGGACTTTTTTCGCTTCTAATTTTGATATGGATGTTAATAGGCCGCACTTCAGACTCCAGCGACACCGAATCGGAGCCAGGCATTCCATTGAAACGGAAGCAGAGACGATCACGTACCACATTCACTGGTGAACAGCTCGATGCGTTAGAGAGAAGGTAAGTGCTCAATTATCCAGTTTGATTCTTTCAGAATGGAATTTTGGCGTGAAGACTGATTCGATACAAAGTTGATTTGATTTGAAATTTATTTGAGTTTTTGTTTCGAAAACATTTTCAGTTTTAGCCGAACGCACTATCCCGATGTGTACACACGCGAGGAATTGGCCCAATCGACACAACTTACTGAAGCCAGAATCCAGGTACAATATTCTTTCAATATTTCCATTTCTTGGGCTTTGACACAAGTTGCAATGGAACCTATACCGATAAATAGGAAATAGTGAATGGTATATGCATCGGTATAGGCCCAGATCTCGAAAAATACAATAGGGGATCTGGTTCTTCTATTAACTGTTCGCGATGTCATTCAGTAGCCCAATATTAAACGTTCCCTTGACCTAAATGTTACCGAAAAAAAAAATCAATTCAACTTCAAATTGAAACTCACAGGTTTGGTTCAGTAATCGTCGTGCACGATTGCGCAAGCACACGGGTTCGAATAATATGCCAAATATGGGACCACCAATGTCAGCGCTGTCAATGCCACAGTATTCAGGGAATTTAAATAATCCAAATCAAACGGATGTGCATCAAATACCAACTCATTATGATCACTTGGTACAGCAATCACAGCACAGTGGCTATGCGGCCGGCTTTCATCACAATGCCGGTTTAATGCCACAAAATTATTCGGGTTCGGTACATTTTCAGCCGTCACTTGATTACGGCACAAAGCTGGCCAACGAAGATTACAAATATTCAACTGATCAAATAGCGAAAATGACAACCACACCGCCACCACCAGCGCCGCCACAGCAAACAGCCGTATCGCTATCAGCACAGCCATCGTCCACATTACCAACTGCAATCAAATCCTACAGCGAGCACATGTCCGAAACGAATTGGAATCAAATGTACGGACATCATCAGGTCTACGGTCCACCCAATGAGTACAGTCAAATGCAACAGAATTACACCAATCCAAATGCAAAATATTGGTCATGAATCGATTGAAAGCAATTGCAGAATCGAAAGGTTAATAAAAGAAATGGCAAAACGTATACAATTTCTGTTTTTCTTTTTGACGAACACGACACATCATCCCTCATTGATTCCAGTGGAAAAAAAATGAATTAGTAAATTGTTTTATCGGCAGTGTAAGATGTGGAGAAATATCATTTGACTTGATATTTTACCGCGACCAATGCGCACGTTCACTTCAACGAAAATTTGAGAAAAAGAGAATTCGAAGCAATTAATCATACCAAAACCTAGTTTTTATAGGCAGGATTATTAATACAAATAAATATGTAAGATTTTGGCTCAATGTTCTCAGTTTCCATGATAAACTATTTTTTATTAAGTAAAAGGATCACAAGAAAATTGTGTAGGAAAATTGATGTTTAATGTTTACGAACAACAAATCAAATTCAGTTCACTTTCACATTTCATTCTCAATTTGTTGCTTTATTAGTGGATAGATGCAACAGCATTTGGATTTGCAATTAGATGAATCAAAAGCGGAAAACCGTAAGATTATTCAAATGCGAAAAAATAAGCAAATTAACATTTATTTTATACACACCATACCATTGAAGACAACGACGACGACGACGACGACGACTACGATGATGATGAGTGCGCCGCGCATTGTGTGGCTGCAACAGAAACGTTTCAGTAAAATGCTTAAAAAAAAGTTTCTAATTCTCTAAATAGGTTTCATAATTTATTTTGTATTAGTTCAAGTGGCAGCAAATTGTAGATTGTAGCAAACGCTAGTGCATAAATTGATAGTAATAGAAATAATAATCACGATTTAATATAATAATAAACGTAATGTTGAAGAGGTGAAAACTCCCACTTTAGCTATATTTGAGAGCAACATACGGCTATTAAGGACATAAGGCATTGGCAAAGATAAAATGCTTACCATTTGGCACACACTTGAAAGGAGTACACATTGCACACTCCATAGTGCACACACATGATTCAGAGTGTATGTTTGCAAGCGAAGCGTTTGCGCGTAAAATTTTATGTCTTGCATTAATTCCTACGTTCGGTGCTACGCGTTTCATTTTTTTCTTTCTTCAAAATTAAACAAAGTGCGCGCAGATTATTTTCCTCTCTCGCTTCAAGTTAAGAGCACCTAATTTGGACCAATAATTAGAATGAACATGGAAATTTTTGTGCGTTAGAGTTCCAGTTACTATAAATAGCTTATACGATGATTTTTTTCTGTGTAAAGAAACCAAATGAAACTGAAACGTAATTTTAATAACATGTGAAAATTTAGATTCAGATTTTTTTTTCGGCCGCCTTTTTACTCCACATATCGAATCATTATCATCATCATCACGAAATCATCGACTACACATTATTTTCTCGAAAAATGATGAGCTATGATGAACAATTTGCCTTAAATCCATAATCATTCTCATAAATATTTCACCGTTTGATATAGATCTTTGCCTTTGATATTTTGCTAAATACACTTTTCAGAAAACAACAAACAAACGAACAACAAAAAAGAACACATATCAATAACTCACAATATTCATTAACTATTCATTTATTCACAACAAAATGAAATAATGCCTTGCATTTACAATGCAGCTCAACAATTTGTGTCTTAGAAGCGTTCAAATGAATCGAATTAAGATAGATTACCTGATGAATAAAATGTAGCTATTTAATAAAGATGAATGTATAAAAACAAATCGGTTTAATTGTGTAATTTGTTTTTTTTTCCTCTTTTTTTTACAAACTTTTTTCATACAATGCAAAATATTCTGCCGTAGTTCGTTTTCACAAGCCTTTTATTCTTCTTTTCCGGTTAATCAATAACTTACCTAATGGATGTTGTCGATTTCGTTTTGCAGCTAAAAGTTCAACGATTTTTTTGAAAGGAAACTACAATTCTCCTTTGATAATCTAAATGATTCGTTTATTAATTACGTGCAAATGGGTAACACTTTATTTAAGTCGCTGCTAAGTCCGTTTATAATTTGATTCGGACTCAAATTGATTGAACGACTGATGACATTCTTTAAAGTGTTTTTTTTTTGGATGATAAAATCAAACAATAATATAGGTGGATAGAGTTCAAAGGACACTGAAGGAATGGAATTAGGTGAAAATCTCTCATTATGTCTTATTGTCTTGTGACGATTTTGTTTCATTTTAATGAATACACAAATGTTCAAGCATTTCGTTTGTGTTCATCTTGATTATTTTGTCAAATTTTTAATTAAAGCATTCGCATTTGATGATTATCAATGAAGATCAAATTGAAGTAATTGCAGCTCAGACAAAAATAATGGGGGCAAAAATTGAGAAAACGTATACACTTTTTGTTCTCTGCAATAGGTTTTGTTGGTTTTAAAGGTAAGCATTTAGTATTTTATTGACGCGTCTTTTTCAAATTTAGTTCCTTAGTGACCTTCCACTATTGACGCTCAAAAAGTAATGACAACCACTTTTACATTGATACTAAACAACACAAAATGAACAGTCCCATGATATTTTTGATGTTGGTCATTTGTTATATGCAGTATTACTAAAGTAATTGATGAGCTTTGATTTTCTTACTTGTTTCAATATGCTCAATTTTATTGTCATACAATCTATTTCACAAAATCACCCACCTGATTCCAAAAACGGTTCAAACCTTTTTCTTGTTGATGGAAAACGTATAATTTTTTTCGAAAGCGAGACATAAGTGGTGCAAAAATGCGATATCAACTGGTTAGTATGCAAAAACGAGATATAACAAAATTTCACAGTGAAACGAGCGCAAAATCCTATACAAATTTTATCTCGTGTTTACTCTAACATTTTTATATCGCGCATTTGCATGCAAACCAATTTTCACAGGGCATACATTTTTTTGCTCGTTTTCGAAAACCAAAACAAAATCTGAGTTGTTCTTGGATCTTGGATCCCATATACATTCTTAAGAATAGAAAAAAAAGAAACGGCGAGAATAAGAAAATTTATATGGGAAATTGGTTTTTAATTGAAATGTTTTTATTGTCACAATCAGCTTTTAATCAGCATGTTGAAGATTACGATAGAAATGGAATACTTTTGATATCGAAATTAATTACATTACACTTGAGATGATTTTTTTTTCAGTCGCTGTCTGTTTACATAATCTTTTTTTTTAATCGTAGAGATTTCCCGTATAGATGAGTGGAGGAGATATTCATGCTGTTAAACATTTATGGGGGAATCAAAATATATATAGGATTTTTCGTATTCAACTCCGCAGACTCGCATGATTCTCTTTAGACAATGTTTTCGCATGAATAATCCAGCCAATCATTCAAAATGTTATCCATGCGAAATGTTTGCCCGTTCGAAATCATTTGTGGCTGTGTGAGTGAGTATTCATTGTTATTGTTGTTGTTAGGAAAATTGATATCATAATAAACATTTTATCGAAAAATATCATCTCAATTTTTTTATACTTTGTCTATTCAATGGTGTGTGTGTGTTTGTTGATATTGTCAAAAATATGTGTTGTATATATATATATATGATTTTCATCACTAATATTGTGTATAGTATATAAGATTCAGATGTTTCTATTGAATGAGAACAAACACATTGATTAATACACTGCGTTAACTTTAAATATATGTTGTTTTTTACTTTTTCTTCTTCTTCTAATTTCAAGCACCTTAAGTTATCTTTTTTGTTTTTTCTTGTAATATATATGTGTGTGTATACATAGAATTAATTTATATTATTGTCAGCGTGATCGTTCATTTTTTTGTTGATTGTAAATTGTATTTGTGATTTTCATTTGTTCATCTTCTTTTCTTTTCAATTGTTTATGTTAAAGCTTATCTGTTGTGATATTGTCAAATGTCAGGATTGATATTTATTGTCACTGGTGTGCGTGTGTGCGAGAAATGTTGACATCAACACGCATTAGATTCATATTAAATCGAAAGAGCGATTAGAAAATTGAAAATGATTTGTAGAAATCAGAAAGAAAAATTGTGTTGCCTATTTGGGATGTCTAATTGGAGAGAGGTTTCGGAAAAAACGTGGATATGAGATTAAAATAGTTCATCGTTTGGATGAAAAGGTCCGCGAAAGCTACGCTGTTGTATCGCTGTTAGTTTTGGTGGTGTTCCCCAATGCGATAGGCCCGGCGCTGCCCAACTTAACGAGCTTGAAAGGATTGGTTGTTGCTGTCTACATCGTTCACAAACGCCCGCGACGATTGGTCGCTCTTGTTGATGAGGTCGGCGGTAAAATCCTCCCTGTTGCATCCAAAACATCCACGTTGATTTGATTTAATTTTTGTTTTTATTTCGAAAAAAAAACACATAAATATTGATTAATAATGTATATGAGGTGCCACAGTATTATTTGCGTATGAGTGACTTGAATCTAAGAAAGAATCATTAGTAAGAGTCAAATGATTTGACTTTTGTTGAAATACTACACATTATGGTAGCAAATGATTTTTTCTTAAATCTCACTCGCTCCTACAGCTACAATTTGAACAAACATTTCAAAGAAAAATCCAACATTTCAAGAGACAGATACAGGAGTGGAGTTGGGTGGAGTTATTTCTACTAACAACAATCATTTGGCAACTAAAGAGCACAGAAATTCTAGGATCAAAACGACTTGAACCGACATAAACATGCTAAACTGGTAGGTTTTCATCAATTATTCGAGCACTTTTTCTTCGTAAGCTTAAGCTCGCCTCAAGTAGCACGTAAGTCCTTGGAATGTAACGCATTTCATTCAAGATACGAATGGTTAAAATATGTTTCGTATGAATTTGATGCAGATTTATTGCGCTGATCCACTTATACGTCATGTTTATTCAAAAAAAAATATTTCAAATGCTACAACAGATCTATGAACTAATAAAATCCAATGCAGACGAAAATAAATGGCTTACACTGGAAAATTCTAAAAATATATGTAATCGAAATTCAGTCATTTTTCTGCGTTGTAAATAAGCTTTGCTCATTCAGTAAAGAATATTTCTACGAATCGGGAAGGAATCAACTCCGAATAACGCGATAAACAGATAGATGCTTGCATTCCAAATAGTAAACTCAATAACATTACAACGAATATCTACGTATTATGAATCTAACGATAATGTGGCTAAATGGATGGTTTGATGGCTGACGAATGGAAGACATATGATGATTTGTACGTCAATAAATTACATCGATTATTCACCACACTTCATCGTTGCCGCACTCCAATGCACAGTAAGTATTACTATGCACAAAAGATTAAAACACTCATTTGGAAGAAATGGAACCGAAAAAAACAGATTGAAATAAAAGAAATATATTTAATGATAATGAAACAATAAAAAAAGAATTTATCTAGTTGACAACATCATTTGTTTTAGAATGGTTAAATGATGTGTTTTTCCCTCGATAGTTCTTCAACATGTTGTAATCTAACGATTGATTTCTCCGTGTAAGTCAATTTTGTTAATCTCAACGAAGAGAAAGGGAGAGGCCGACAGAGTGCAGAGTCTGACACGAATTTGGTGAAATTGTACATTTGGAGGACATTGTGTGCTTGGGTTTAGTGTCTATCAAAGTAAAAGGGATTTGCAACAATCAATTGGTGCACTCAAATTACGTGCACATATTCGATGGAGTAGTATTTCGAAAAGACGTCCACCGCCCACTCGTTCACGTCGAGATGATCGGGAGTAGATACGTTGCTGTGCGTTAACTTTGTCGTCTGATTAACAGTGATTAAATGTGTGTTTACTCGGATGCCGAGCGAAAATGGGGCCATAGCAGTTGCAATATCACGTACGAGACGCCATTCAGTGCTGAATGTGTGTATGTGTGTGTCGAAATTTAATTACTTGAGCACAAAGAGCATTCATCCACATCGTACAACAACAGTTCGGATACGTCGTATTTGCGACATTCATTTCAGACAAAATTTTGTTCGGTGGAATTTCTGGTGTCTTTTCATCGTCTTGCACTAATGCCTTTGCCAAATTCGATAACGACAGTGCGTCACACAGCCCATTGTCTGTGTGATATATAGGAAATAAAAGTTTAAATTAATGCGCGAAAAACACCAACATTTCGGGACGAATCAACAACAATCATCCATAGATTACTTGCTAACGAACTGAATTCCTCTCGTCTCATCCATAAAACTGTTTTTTCCTCTTGAAATATAAAGACTGAGCATGAAACTTCAATCCGCACATTCACATCTTCCATTCACATTTTATGATCCAAACGGTTCATGTTCAAACAAATAAATTCTGCACATCGTTGCATAGCTTGTGCCTCTCTTTTCCTCTCTACCTTTGTTTTCGTCGAAATGAGTTGAAACATTTCATAATATTACAATCTTTTGTTTGATAGTTTGAACATTTCATTTATTTACTATTGCTATCCGGGTGCTGCTTCTTTTTTTAATTGTCTTCTTTCGCCGCAAAAATTGCGTACATCGCGGAAAATTTGCGCCTACGCCGTGATGGATAATTCTTGGTTTGAGTAATCGAAATATTGATTTGGTTGAAGTTCGTCGAGCTCGATATTTACCAATTTTTCGTGATTTGCATTTTTCGCTCTCGCTCTCTTGATTGAAAAATCAAAATACTTCCCAAGTAATAGAGTTCATGAGTTGGGTCTAATGGTTATTGGTCTGGAAATATGGTACGAGAAAAAATGCAGCGACACAAACTTTTTTTTCTCTGTATTTACATTTGAGCTTCTCTCTGTAAACTGTGCACAAACACGGAACTCGTCAATTGTTCCAACCGACGAGAAACGAGAGCGTGGGCAAAAAAGAGATGAATTGCGATTCTCGTCATCTATTTTCGCTGAAATTTCGCATTTGATGTTGTAGAGAGCAGAGGAAAAACATCCATTACCATATTCAAAAATAAATCAGAAAAATCAGGACATTTGCCGATTTTTGGTCGCATAAACCGATCTGTAGCTCCGTCTTTGGTACATGTATAGTCTACGGCTGTCATACACACAAAAATTCTCATTTGCTCGGTGTGCCAAAAGTTTGTTATTGACAGCTTCTTACAGCGGAATAACCATCAGAGAGCATTACGAGGGATTGGATGTGCAATTGCTCTGTGGAGGAGCTTCCATTGCGGTGATGAGTTGAGAAATTGAATTTTCGTCAGCGCAATGTGGTTATCAACTAGAGATATAGGTACAAAATAAACATATATATAATAAATAAATCAGAAAATAAAACCTCGAAATGGAAAAGTAAAGCCGAAAATCGAAAAATCGAGAACCAAAAAACCGAAAATTGAACCTGAGAATGAGTTAAAGTGGTGAGTGTGTATCGAACAAATATATGGTATGGTATATACTAAACAGTACAGATTGTGAATATGTGTTAACAGCGACAACGAGACAGGAAGAAAAGAGCTTGGATTAATAAAAGCCTACTGTTCGAGACCTCGCCCTGCCACGGCCCGATCGACTGAATCTACCGCCACGAATTGATCGAAATGCTGGCAACCATCCAGACCTGGCTAATGCGCCGAGATGTCGTTTCTTACTCTGTTGCCGATACTGTTTTTGATTCAGATAGTTGCTGACATCCGAACGCAACAAACCCTGACGCGCCAATGAACCAATATTTCGCTTTTCAGCAGACGGCGCACGATACGATGGTGACCATCCATCGTCAACTATCGAACCTTTCAGTCGAATGTGTGGGTTTTTTTGTTGTTGTTGTTGTTGTTGACGAATATGTGTGAGACGTTCGCATATTTCAATATATCCACGAAATAACGTAATAACGTTAGTAAATGACTAGTAGATAACTTAATTCAACCAGATTTGGTTTTGATATTTTTTTTTGTTCATTTGGACAATAGAGCGTAGAGACAAATAATAATGAACCACTTACCAAGAAAGCGTTTTTCGTTTGAGATGTCTGGCATTCCATAGTATGCGTAGAGTTCATTCAAGTCATTATAATTGAATGGAGCCGCTTGATAAGTCTGCGTATCAATCTCACTTTCATCGGGAAAATCGTCGTAGGTCGTGTCACGTTTCACTTTGCTGCTGCTATGTGCGTTCTTCACGGAGCCGATATTACGTTTTTCCTCCATCGAGTCTGTAAATTTGCGTTTGCGTATGGTATGGATATATGTTGCCCACATCCAAATCCCCGTACGGCATACAAAAACCATCGAAGATTTTATCAGAAGAGAAAAGTAAACAAAGTTTGATGAATACATTTTCAGTTGATTATTTTTTCTGTTGCGTGTGTGTCTTTTTTACTGCTTAGCTTAGTGTAACATACGCTTATTGTTGGCTGCTGTCACGTCACGTTTCTCATTTTTGCTTTGATGATAGTATGGGAGCAGGTTGTCTCGTGCCAATGTTCCGACATTGCGTTTAGGCTGTTGTGGACCGTTAGTGCTGCTGGTGCTGCTACCTCCACCCGATCGTAGGATTGATGGCAGATTTCGCTTTCCATTCGGTGGCAAAAGAAAATCTCTGGCCAGTGCTCCAACATTTCGTTTACCACCAGTAATCGATCCACCGCGTGCAATCGATCCAATGTTTCGTTTATCATTGTTCCATGGACCAGATGATACATCACCGTTGTCATCGTTTTCACGAGGCGGCAATTGACCATTTTTTGCAAGAGTTGCCAACGAACGTTTGGCCGCTTCACGCATTAAACCCAAACGTGCCATGGCAGCCACATTGCGTTTTTCATTGAGAATAGCAGCCGCATGCTTTTCCAGTGCATCCAAATCGATGCTGTCATAGGTGGGCTGATTTTCATCGTCCACATACTGAATGCCATCGTTTGCGATTAAATAGTTCTCTATGATTTGTTTCAGCTGATTCCTCAGTGCATTGGCCTAGAGGGTAAAATCATTTTTTTCATCTTTTATATCCGATCGCATCAAGTAATAACTTAGAAATTCAATGGTATGCATGTGAATCCGAAATATCCATGTATATTCAACAATATTTATCGTGAACGACAAATGAATATTACTGAATATACATAGATATGTCAAATTTACGTGTATACGTATGAAAAATAAAAATAATAGTGAATCAAACCTTCAACCGTAAATTTGAACGATTTTGGTAGATAACGGTGAATATTCGAACATTTTTTGACATTACAGTCTAATGAATATTATTAAATATACATAGATGTTTAAGATTGACGTGCATACCAGTAAATTTGTGCAGATTGTATAGTCAAAAAATGTTCCAATATTCACCGTAATCCACCAAAATCCTTTAAAAGTCGTTCAAATTTTCGGTTGAAGGTTTGATTCACTATTATTTTTATTTTTTCAGAGTTATTTGCGTTCTGCAAAATCGTGTGAAGCCCCTAGGCATTGGCCTAGTTAAAAGTTTCAGTACATTTTAACAATAATTTTTTTTCTGTTTTTGCTGCATTCGAAATACCCAACGGCACGACCGCCCTGAATTATTTAAAATAAATATGTAAAAAGAGTAGATTACTTACGTGCATCTCGTTTCCACTCTTTGGATAAAATATCTGTCGTGCAATCTGTTCCTGTTCGCATGCGGACAAACCGTTTAAATCGTATTCAGCGTGCACCTGTGCCATGGATTATACCATTAAACGAATAAACGAAAAATGCATGAATCTTTTATTTATTGTAAATTTTCTGTTTGCCTCAATGGGTGTGTGTGAGTGGAGAATGCCTCCATTTTCGGGATGAATGTGGGATACAGATAACGATCAAAAATGGAAATTTAATAAAATACACATGAAAATCGGCGTTCAAATCGAATTTTGCTTCATTGGCTTAATAAATAATTGCAAAAGTTCACAATACAAAAACCTGATGACAAAATCACAATTAAAATGAGAAACGCAGCAGTCGCTTTATCAAGTGGCAAACAATGCCAACAATATCCCACTGTCACACAATGTAGGCTAGAAAGCTCACTACACGATAAGCACAAACATCAACCCAACTCGTACCAAACACACCGAATACACCGGAATGAATGAACATTGTTTGAAATCAATTCTTACTTCCACACATATTGTATGCAGTGGCAATAGCACTCAATGTTATTTATTAAACAGTTCAAATAACGATTAATGCAAAACAATGGCATAAACGGAACAAATGTGTGTATGTGTTTGACATTTTCTCAATGCTACGAGCTGTGCAAATGGCATGTGGGCCACGAGCACGTAATTCACATTAATTTTGTGAAGTTGTCGTCCTTGCACCTTTTTCTCTCTTTCCCTCTCGTTTGGTGTTGTCAAATATGCTGGAACCAATATCTCGGTTTCAACAAATTGATTTCATTAGTTTTTCCGCTTTTTCTTCTCGGCATTTCACCTCAAATTTAAAGAAATTCGTTGTTGTTGTTGTCATTATTGTACGAAAAAAACGTGCGCTGACTTACCAAATTTTAACCTTCGATCGGTAAAATTTTGCCTATTGTCTGCTTATGTTGCACTGTAGAGCGATAATCTCGATTCCAAATTAAGGGAGGTTGATTCGATTTTTCAAGCAATCAAATCAACTGGAAATTTGTGCTCTACATTTGAATTGAAAAACTTCATCAACATTCCGGTATACGGTGTAGCAGCAAGTGCACAGAACGAAACGACCGAAAAAACCGACGATTCCAAAGCAGATGCTACCTGTTTCTGCTTCAGTCAATCTTGTGCACATTTCAAATGAATAAAGAGGTGGAATCATTCACCATTGAGATGAGAAGAAAAAAAATCCGTTCAAAACAACGGAAAATGTAACATACAAAAAAGTATGTATATCTATGAAGCACTGTGAAAGCCGAAAATGTAATAAATCATTTTTTCACGAATAAAAATGAGAGAAAAAAAAAGAACAAAAAATCAGAGTGTGTGTAGCAAGACCGTGCCGCCACTTGAAAAGCAAAGAACCGAAGCACTGTACGGATAATGATCACACAATTATCACACAAAAATGAAGACGAGATATTGAGCGAGTGAGCGAGAGAGCGAGAGAGTGATAGAGCGAGAGAAAAGAAAGAAAAACCACTTGAAAATACGAACTCGCTCATTTCGAACGTGATTGTTTGGTGAATCGAAAAGGTAGTTCGCGATAATTGAAAACGTTTTCCTGTTTGCTGGAAACATTCACACAGCACACTCTCTCTTGAGATATATGCAGCCTTTTATATGATAAATTGAGGGATTTAACTTATATAACGTTATTATTTTGCGTACAATTTTGCTTTTTCAAAGTCAACATATAAATGCTCTCATTCTTTCCAGCGTTAGCGTGTAACAGGTAAACGACATCTAATCATTTTTCAAAAAAAAAATCCGTACCTTTTTCTTCTGCATTTTCACTATTTCCAATTAATTTTCGGTGTGTGATTGTTTTGATTTTGCTTTCACGTCGGTCGACCGAAGGCTCCCTTTGTCGGCACCGCGTTGTCTGTTCAATAAAAGGTTCATCTTCATCCCTAACGGTTTCACATAGAAACTTTACACAAAACTCCCAGGCCATGGGACTTTAACATTTTTGGTCTCACAAAACATTTCTTTATTCTAAACAACTTCGTTTTTGTTGCGCGGCCAAAACGACCGTCGTTGGAATGTGTGATTGCAAAAAGAGAATAAAATTTTTACAGTTTCACGCAACAAAAAAATATGTATGATTTTAATGCTAATTGCCGAACAAAAAAAAAAGAATTTGGATGAGAAATTCGCATTTTAGATCTGCAGAGTAAAAAGTAATAAGTTGAAGTTTCATGCGAATTTCCGGTATTTTTTTAAAATAATAAGAACATTGCTGAATGTTACATTTTTTTTCGACTTCTTTCCAAAAACAATGAAGAAAGTTCAAAGAAGGTATTCTAGATACACCAAAGATCCAGATTTGGGAGATGAAAAAAAAAATCGCTGCTCAACGCTGGAGATGAAAAAAAAGATTACAAACAGACCCGACCAGGAAAAAAAGATCGATTAATCTTACAGGTTACGTGGTTTACGCCTTCGACACGATAGAGTGGCGCATCTGTACACTTATCTGTGTTATTCGGCTGTATGATTGTGATTTGGTGTTAATACGTATATAATTACATATATTGTGCACTGAGAAAACATAATTTTCATTGTCTATTTTCTCTGCCATAGGTTTTCTTTTCTCTCTCTCTTCGTCTTCTTCCACTGTTGTCTTTTGTTTTTTGCTTTGATTTTATTTTCCGTCTCTAGCCGTTTCGGCTTCTTTCAATCTAATAAAGGACGTTTAGTAGGTAAACATGTGGTAATTTCATTTTCGGATCGCGCGAGAAAAACAGAAGTTAATGTTCATATGGATGGTGAGCATTTCTCTCTTTCTCTCTCTCCCGCCTTTGATTTGGTGCGACTGTGATTGCTCTGCTTTCGTGTCATGTTCATTCTCTATCTTTCTGTTCGTAGTTCTTTTCGACGTTGTTGCTGTTGTTGTTGTTTTTTGCCCTTAATTTTCTCTTACTTCAGTAAATACAAACGCACAACTAAATAGTCGAAAAATGATGGGCAGTAAATGTGAGTTTTACGTATTGTGCCTATTGCTACCACTAATTACAGTGATATAAAATTATAATCCAGTCCCATTTATGGGCTACTCAATTTGGAGATACTGTTGCGGCAACGCTCATTTCTTCGAGAAAAAAAAGTAGAATTATTATAATTAAGTGTTTAAAGAAGTTTAGCAGAATGTACCTAATTAGATTGATTGGCTCCTGCAGTAACACTTCTCTCTAATCACTTTGGGCAATTTAATTAGAATGGAAAACAAAATGATATTGAATTGACCACCGAGTGGCTACAGCATTGCGAGCATTTTTCAATTGCTCCAAAATATGTACTTTTTTTCTTTTCTAGCGAAAGACCTATGAGTGGAGTGAAGGTACGTCCATTACATAATTTTTTTCAATCTTGAAATGCCACAAATTTTAAGGTCATCATTGAGGGTTGTTGCAAATTTGGGAGTTGCATAAATTCAATTTCTAGAACAATTAGACAAGATTTAAGAACCCAAGCCCAAAAAATTTCGAAGACGATTTGCTTCATCACCCTAAGTTGAAGTTTCTCTAATTGAAAATGACACATTCATTGAATGCGACTGTTGTTCCAATTGATTTGTCCTTTTTATTTTTCGGGTGGCGTTTTTTTATGTAAATCACACAACATTTTTTTTACTAATTAGATTTTGCCGCTTTGAAATGACATTTTCCGTTTCCTTTTTCTTCTCAATCTGTTACGAAGGGTGTGTGAAATACCGGAAATTAAAATTACCACTTGTAATGAGACATCATTGTACATATGTTCGAAGCCGACAAAGTGCTTTTTTCCGAAGTTTAATACAAATAATTAGTTTTCCTTTTGTAAGAACAAACTTTTGACGATAACGATGAACGAATAGAATGGTTTTGCAAGAGCACATCATCTCTCTCTCTCTTTTTTCGCTTCGCCAATAAAGACTTTTTCATCAAAATTACAACATACCAAGAGTTAAAAATAGAACGAAAGTTCATAACACAAGTGATGCAGGAATAAAAAAAATGTATTGAAGCCATTCACTTGTTGAAGTCTTTTTTGAAGAGCTTGCTCTCCTCCAATTGTGCCATGTTTCATGCCAAAATTGATTTTCGCGCACATCATTTCCATTTCAATGCGAAGGCCAAATCTATTTGGCATTCTCGATTCGCTTCCTGTTTTCTCTCGCTGCAAGTGTGACCCGAGTGACAAATTCAGCTATTTGTTTGTACAAACACAAGCAAAACGGAGATAAGTACGGAATTCTGTTATCAAATGTTTTATGGGCGTTCTTGAGTGACATAAGTGGAATGTCATGGTTTAATGCACTTACCCGACAGCAAGCAGCAGCAGCAACAACATATTTAATGGACCAAAAGATTGAGTGTTTTGTCGGTTTTTCGGTTTTGAGACATGTTAAGACAAATTCACGCATTTTACACCGGTCAAATACGATGACATGTTGAGTGAATTTTAGTGAATGTTGGATGGATAGGCAGACAGGATCTGCAACGCTTGGATTACAACATATATTTGTGTATGCTATACCAATATTGCTCCCATATACTATAAACGAATTAAGATCATGACTATGCCGGAATGAAAAAATTCGGCGAAGGTTATTTTATTAAATTCGCATTGAAAGCAATTAGCCGTAAGAAATCATAACGAAAAGAAAGTGCGGAGGATGAACTAACTCTGTTTCTCACTTTTCCCTTCTTCTCTTCGCTCACCAAAAGCGACTTGAGTCCTTACTGTTTGTTCGACGAAGAAAAGGGGTTGTTTCGCCGTAACTAGCTTGCTTTTTCCCAGAAATTCTTCTATTCAGTGGAATTTCACATTTCATCATTTATTATTGAATGAGAATTGTCACAAAGTAAATCCATACATGTCTAACAACGTGAGCTGTGTGTGAATAGACATTAAACGTAGTCAGGTACATTTCATTTCGATCTGGCTCTGGCTCCAGCTTTTGGAGCCACAAAATCAAAAATGGAGAATTGCTTGTGTGCGTGCGTCGTCAGTCGGTAAGTAATATTGCTTTCGTGTTTTGACAAGATGAATTGAAGAACGCCTTTGACTTTTCCTCAGAACTTGAATGAATATGGCTTCTGCCCAAGCAATTATTTGACTGTGTAGAGAGAAAGCATACAGAACCCTCGTCATTTTAGTGAAAGAAAAAAAAACGTCGTCCATAAAAATTTAATCATTTTCGGTGTACAGCATTCGAAGAAAGAGCAGTAGAGAGACTTTTGAAATCAAAGAACTGTCGTTGCCATTACAAAATACAACATGTTGAAGCTCAAGTAAAACCGTTTCACTCCTATTTGATTAACTACAGCAACATTGTTTGCAATATTTTTTTTTAAATGTATATGAACGTCTCGCGCTTTTCCACGAAACAGAATATGAATTAACTGGTTAAATACATGGTTGATACTCACCTTGCCGATGTAAAGTGCTGTAACGGTGAAAATGAACAGCAACAAATTGATTGGATTTCCACACATCTTGATTTTAGTATTTTATATACAGCTATTGTGAATAACACGAAAAATAAAACACAAGCATTTATTTAGGAGACAAAAATAAAAATGTATGATCTCTATCAATTGAATTGGGGACTTTTCTTCATTTTATGCGAAAAATGTTGCGTGAATTTTCAAATAGTTCATTTTGAACGTTCATGAATTATGTTCGATAGTTTCGTAAATCATAATCAAGCTGGCAAGTTTGAGCCAAGTTGATATCTATCAAGCAATGTATCATAACGGAGCGTATATTCTGAGTATCACATGAGACGAGTATCGCGATATTTTCAGTGTTGCGTTATTTGCGCTTATATTATACTGAGTATATGCGTTCCGGAAGCATTGGCATCAAGTGATGCATACCACAGCCACCGCCAATTATAAAATATTTCCTTAAGTTTGCACTTCATTTTGATTTATGGCCGTCCACAGCAGACTTAAATTTCGCATGGCTTGGCGCTGATTAATTAATCGTCGTCATATTTCATCCGTTTGAAAAAAAAAGAAACAAAAAGGCGGTAAAACATCCTCATTAATCCGTCTTCTTATTAAGAATGAAGTGAAAGTTGGCTATCATTAAAAACTTTTGCTGGGGTGTCTTTGTACAACCATGTACAACATTTTTACGAAACATTGGCAACTATTTACCGTTGCCATGAAGAAAATGTGGCAGATTACAAAGTTGAGTGGGATAGAAATTATGTTGAAAATAATCGGAATATCACAGAAAATTCTACATCATTATGAATTTTTCTAAGTTCCCTCATTTTAAACATAATTTTTCTGATATTTTTCGTTTTATCCATTTTTTTTGCCAAATGATTTCTTTTCTCGATCGAACCTTAAGCACTAGAATAACTTATTTTTTTTCTTCATTAAACAAAACCAAAGTACTTGTGTGTATTTTTTTTATAAAACTTTGCACCAATGCACAAAAGATGCTTCAAAAGCGGATTTGAGTGTTTAAGACTTCTTTTTCAAACTTTGTTACTCAAATCCGGTAAAACTTTGCGGAACAATTGTCACTGTCTATGGTAAAAAGCGGTGAAGTCACATTTGAAAAAGAAACGATTTCAAAACGAACTTACTTTTCAGTACACAGTTTTTATTTGTTTTTGTTCAAATCAGTTTATATTTACATTTAACTTTGATACGTGTTTCTTCTTCAAATAAAGCGTAGTTATTTGTTCACGACAGAGAGAGAGAGAGAGAGAGAGTGAAAAAACAAATGACTTGGAATTGAAAAAAAAATAAATAAAGAAAACGGTATATTTAAATGTTATGTCGTCGCAGGGGTTCACACACTCGTTAACTCGTTATTATTATTTTTCCCTGAAAATTGGAATCAAGCGCGAAAAATGCTTGATCAGAAACATCAAAATGACACTCACACTGATAATTGATATGTGTTTTCAATTCACGAGCTCGCTATATCCTGATTGACTTGTGATGCGAGTAATTCAATTTATAGGCGAAACGATATGCTGGTGCTGGAATCGCACATGCAATTCGAAACGGTACGACGACCGACTGAATTCAAGCAAACGAAGCGGATGGACTGAATGGTGGTGTATATGCATGCCATCCACACCAGAATCAACAAGAGGATACTGAAATCAACGAAATTGTCGCTGGTAGTCGAGCTCTATCTCATCTTTCAAGGATTCTGCGCAAAATTCATCTAACGAATTCCATCGCACGTAGCACACTTACGCGCCAGCAGCCACGAAGAGCGTATATTGTTGTGTATTTATGCATTTGATGGCACAATAACACAACAACAGCACTAAAGAAAGAGAGAGAGAGAGAGAGAGAGAGAGAGAGAGAGAGAGAAATTGTAACGAAAAAAAACACACAAACTGACAGCATTTAAGTAAACATATTATTATTAAAAACCGATTTTCTTATTTCGAAAAATAAGAAATCGCGGAGACGCATGGGCGACCTTCCATTTTTTTTTTCTTCTCCTTTAACATTATCGTTTTAATCCAAACCAACGTATTTGTTTAGGTTCCTTCAGGCGAATGTGTCGTCGCTCACGTCATATGAAAATACAGATGAATGGAAGTGAAAAAAAGGAGAAGAAACGAGAAAAAAACCAACTACTCGAAAAGTTGCAGGTTCGGATCTTGTGGTCGATTTTTCGGTCGCTTCATGTTTTTTTCTTCTCTCGTTTCCAACGTAAACAACACGTGTTGTTTGCTTGTTTGCATTTATGAATTGAGCTCGTATTCATGATTCAGTGTATGATGATGCTGCAGAAAGAATTGATAGAATATCATAGATGGGAAAGAATAACTCTATGAATAAAAAAAACGCGAGAGTGTTGAATGTCAACAGGTGTTATTATTCCAATCGTTTGCTAATCAAACACATTAACATTCAAAAGGGTGGGGGGGGGGGTAAATGCATGTATTGTGGCCCACGCAACCGAGATCGTGATTCGGTTTAGATTCCAATTTTCATCTCAATTTGTGATGTGGCACATCTTTTTCATCTGTCATAAATGAGACGAATCTATTTGGTAGCGCTAGCTATAAACTTCCGATGTATATTTTGACATTTGTTACAAATACAGTTTGTTTTGGACGGAATGAAAAAAAAAAAACGAAAAAAAACGCATTTTCTTCTGATGAACTCCGGAGAAATGGAAAAGAAAGTGCAATGTACAAACCATGTTGAGACGAAATAGCGAAATTTGAGTAGTTGTACCACACCATAGCTGTAATCTGACACAAGCCCACACTCTGTAGATTCGTTTCAAATAAAATTCAATGGCAGCAGAAAAAAATATAGATAATTGGCAAAAAAGACGATCAATTATGTCCATGAATAGTGAGAACATTCTACGCCAGTGCAAATCCCTTGTGGTCGAATCGACAGTGATTTTGCGGTTTTTGCCGTAGGCCACAAATCTCATTAGAAGCAATCAATATCACTCTCAATTACATCGTACGTTTTTTCTTTTTTTTTCCTCGCCACGCACATTTACATTCGATAAATTCTCGCGTAAGCAACCACGCACTGTATTGATAAAGTTGTAGCTCTCAAGAGTGCATGGATATTTGAACAATCTGACAGTGGATTAGATTTCATGTGTTTATGCGATAGCTGAGTTGTATACTGATTCACTTCGTTTAGCGCGGCCCAATTGAATTGAAGATGTTGGAAAATGTGCGTTTTTTTTTAACAAAATGTGGCTGTACCACGTGCTCAGTAGTGAAACTCCCTCGACACAATTGGTCGTCATCATCGCCAAAAAATACAAATATATGTGATTTGATATGATCGGTTTAATGTGTGAATTTGAACCTACACGAAACTTAATGCATCCCATGGGCGTCGCACATCTTATTTGATGTAGCACACAATTACGTCAATCGAATATTCTTTGCACAGTCTTCATTGACAAAATGTAGTGAATTTGTTTTTCGCTCTGATTTCAAACCATTAATTTATTCATTTTTTGTCTACTCTTCAATATGTCATCTCTTCTCTCATCTTGTTCAGAACAGTGGCACGTGTTGCTCACTTTTTCTTACACTATACAACCTAATGCATTATTCTGAATTATAAACAATCCAAATGAATTGTTTCGTTCAAGTACACGAGGCGCGAGTAATATTTGATGATGCGTTTATCACTCATCATGTAATGCTCTCCATTAGAGGTCATCATTTCAAATCAAAAACCAAAACGTCTGTTTCTTTATTTTTTACTCACCTCTTTCCGAAATTAGAATGATCGTTATAATTAAGTTTAGCTTCGGCCACAAAGCGGAGATGGAGTGACAACTTTGGAAAAATTGTAGTACTGTAATTTGGGTTTAATTAAATTACAACTACTACCTACTTACACTGAAAATGAAGTACCGCGTAGTATAGGCGCGCCAAAAAAAAATAAAATGGAACTCCAATCATCAAAATGAAATTAAGTTAGAAGCTGAAAAAAACAGTCTTGAACAGAACGTAAAATGAGCAAAGAACTTAATCATCACAATGAAAAATTACCGGAATAATATCAAAGTTTTTGAAGAAAAAAATGGAACACCGCATTCGGCTTCAAACATATTTGAAGCAGCGGCATGAAAGAGACCGACTTTTTTGCGTCGAAAATTATCAAAGAGGATCCAAACCGTTTATTTCCTGGAATGGAAAAAAAACGTGCATGCTTCCTTCGTGTGCTTACATACGTTCACACTAGCGCACGGTACATTCACTAGATGGCGCTCGCAGCAGAGATGATATAAAGCTAAAATTGGATTTCAATTCAAATCAGGAGATTTTAACCAATATGATTTAAAGCACAAAAAAGCAAATCTTTCGATCCAATCAGAATAGTTTCACTTCGGCAGAATTCGTTCAAGTTTTGGGTGTAGGTCTCTTTTAACCTGCCGCTATGCACTGTCACTATTGGTGGTAAACAGTGATGGCGATTTTGAAAATCGTGGACTTAGGGGTGAGCTGGCAGTGGGTGGATTTTGTGGAGCAGGTGGATCCAACCTCACACAAATAGTTTTGAAAGAAAAAATCTTCAGTATTCAATGAGTACTACTCATTCCCCGTGGGAATGTTAATTTTTGCCGAATTTAGCCTCATAGTTGGCTTGATAAACCTGAAATCAAATACGAATTTTCTTATGGATACGTTACATTAACGCAACGCATACAATTCATCTGGTAAATTCATTTATCGATTGATGATGAATTCATCTGTGAATATACCATAGTTCAAATGGAAACAACTGTAAGAGGATATGGATTTAATTTTTTTTATTGTTTTAAATGGCGAAACACTGAAGTTCGAAGGGGACGATCGTTGTGCTATTCTACAGAGCTCTCATTTGATAGGATCATTTGTTTAAATTCGTACAATAAATCTTGATATTACTTGAGGGATAGTCATAAATATATTGTATACGAAAAGGGAACGCTGGTTTTTTTTTAAAAATATCATTGCTATTATGCCGCTACCCAAGTAACAATTATTAATACTATGACGGTTTTTGAGGAATCCAGGCCCCAAGCGAAATTTAAAGTTGAATAAAAGTACTAAACAGTGTATAAAACCAACCGGAGTTAAGTCTCATTGTATAGATTGAACATTTCTCTACACGAATGACATATACACATATGCATATGTGTGAGTATGTGTAAAATACAGCCTTCCGAAAAACATGTTACGCTGTTGTTCTTTGGGGATCACAGGGCCCCATGGCTTTTTTATATTATAACTGGACTATGATATGAGAAATCGACTTGGTGTCTGTGGCAGTGTAGACTAGTTTATGTACTCCAACTTCGCCGTAGACATCAAGTCGTTATCTCTTATCAGTTACGCGAAAAGCCGCGAAAACTTGAAAAACGCGAATTCATAGTTTCTCATTTTTCAAGGAATTGATATGAAATAATGGATGATTGTTATTGCAAAGTTGTAGCTCTGGTCGAGTACTACAACTTTACCACAGACACCAAGACGTTATCTCTTATCAATTACGTGAAAAAATTATTTAAAAAAATTCGCGTTTTTCACGGTTTTCGCGGCTTTTCGCGTTACTGATAAGAGATAATGACTTGGTGTCGTAACATAGTTAAAGTAATTGACCAGAGGTACAACTTTGTCAAAGACACCATCTCGTTATCTCTTATCAGTTTCGCGGAATACGCGAGAAACCGCAGAAAACCGTGAAAAACGCGAATGTTTTCTTATCATTTTTTCGCTTAACTGATAAGAGATAGCGATTCGGTGTCTGTAGCAAATTATAGTACTCGACCTAAGTTGTCACAGTTAATCGCGACGACATCGTGATTAAGTAAACAACTTAATCATCATCGATGATTAATTAATCAATTGCACAATCACTTAATCATGATTAATAGCGATTAAGTGATTAAGTGCCATCTTAATCATCGCAAATTTTGGGTGTTTGATTAATCTTAATCAGATAGTCCGCTCATCTGTAATTTCATATGAAGTACATATGGGGCCCTGGAGTCCCCAAAGAATAGAAATAGGTAAAAAGTGTGAAGAACCGTCAAAGTATTAAATGAAATATATCCGAACCCAGGTATATGTTTAGGGTTGAATGTGGGGTTACGTTTGACCATAGGTACAATAGGTACAATCATTTTTTCCCTCGAAAATGAGTGAAATTCGGGCGTAGTGTAATTGTGCATGAAATGAATGAAAAGAAAATAGAATGAAATCAATGCTCTTTTTTTTCAATTGAAAACCAAGTCATTTCATTTGTACTTACCTACGCAACCAAATATACGTACTCCCGTAAACAACAGAAGGCTGCTCACTCAGGCCCCCAAATTAATCAAGGCCAGTTGGCTAACAAATCGTTAATACAAGTATTATTTTTAAAATGTATTCTTAAGTGATATGGAGTTGGT